TAGATATAATCCAGGAGGTAAAAGAAAAAAATAGATGAACCATAGACGGAAAAGAATTCTAACATAATAAGCATTTTCTAATAATATTTCAGTGCTCACAAAAGTATTTGGAAGTTAAATTAAATCCAAAAAGGGCACGCGGTAGCGTGGTTGGTTGAGGCACAATGCTACAAGCCGGAAGGCTGTGGGTTCGAGTCCCGATGAGATTTTTTTTTCAATTGACTTAATCCTTCCAGCTGCACTATGGCCCTGGGATGTACTCAGCCTCTAACAGAAATGAGTACTAGGAATCTTCCTGGGAGTAAAGGGCGGCCGGCGCGTAAGGCTTACAACCTTACCTCCATCTGTGAGCCGATTGTCTAGTAGTGTGGGAGCCTTGACGACTCACCCTATGGGTCTCCATGGCCTGTTACATGGATAGCTCTACCTGTTTTCATTAAATGCCAAAATATTCAATATTTGAATCATTAAAATAGCCGAATTGTTAAGATGATGATAATGATGACGTCGACAGTCTGTTGTAACAAATCGTTTTATAACATCCTGTCACAGTGACGTTCATGAATTATACAATTATCAGGTTTACATAGAGTTAATGCGCTTCATTTGTTTTGCGAATATACATAGTTCGAATGTCGGTCTTATTATCGGCTTTTCGGAGTAAATATTGAATTGCCGTTCTTCCTCTCCACACACGAATGCCAATATTTTCAGGAACTACTCCTTCAGAACCTGCATCCATTTCTATTCGTGATCGTCCATTCCATCTGACGCTATATACTCGTGTACGCGACATTAGGAAAGACGTCGTTAAGTAATATAAGAATCATTTACGAAATATGCACCATTTATTATAATAATTAACACTCCTTCACTATCACCGTCTTTAAGCTGTTCATCCACTGTCTTGTTATTAACTTTGCTCGACACACATTAATATTAATCTGTGCTACTAAGTATTTCGGCTTGTTGCTCCTTGCTGAACAACTCAAGTACTCATTCCCATAGTTTTTAGGTTCTCTAAGAACTTAAACGTTTTTACGACAGATGTTTATTCCTATGTTATTTTCCGGGGTCACCATTTCTTCATTTGTATCTCTCGTAAATCATTCTGTTATATCTGTCTCTACAGCCCTTTTGATGAGCCTTGGCCTCTTTTTCAATGTCTTGATCTTTTACACAGAGGATAGGACTCCTTGACGGGTGATTAGCACGTCGCAAGGCCGCTGAATGTACACAGGACAGCATATACACAGAATTAATGCACACAGACATCCATGCCGCAAGTTGGATTCGAACCCACGATCCCAGTGTTCGAGCTGGCGAAGACAGTTCATGCCTTAGACTGTGCCGCCACTGTGAGCAGCTGTCATTTTCTTCTAGTCATCTCAGCCTCGGTCCTCGTAATTATAACATTTCCTGTGCCATCTTCTAATTCACAGTGACTAAAAATACATCATATTCAGTAAAGTCATTACAGATAAATTTCCAGAAGCCGATCACGGTAGCCGCGCGGTCTAATGCATGAACTCTCTTCGCTCGCTCTGACATTGGGATCGTGAGTTCGAATCACATTCAAGGCATGGGCGTATATGTGTGTGCATTTATTCTGTGTTTGTGTTCTTCTGTGTGTAAGGAACGGTCTTGCGACGGCTGATCCCCCGTCCAAGGAGTCCTGCCCAATGTGTATCAGATTACAAAAACGAAAAAGCGGCCTGGACACAACAAGGGGCTGCAAAGCCATTAATGGATGAACGAATGATTGGATGAATGAATGAATATTTGCAGGAACAGAACGAAATAAAACCTTTGTTTTAATTAATTACAGTATTTTATGTTTGTTCATCGAAGAGGCTTCGACTTTGGTTCCACATTCTACTGTGCTATAACGCGCTTCCTGACTACTTCTTTTTGTGGCAGTTGGGATTCTATATTTACAGGGAAGCTGGTATTTGAAAGAGGGAGGGAGCAAGTGAAACACAGTGGCTTCTCTTTGAAAAAGTAATTGTCTAGCCATGTCGTGCTCGTATGCAATAGCTCAAGTGTGATGCAGTCATATTACCACTTCTATAAGAACATCACTGACGCTCTCGCTCGGGATCCACAAACAGAGCCTGATCAAGGGATAACTGAACTACATAATAACATAATCCACGCTAACTTAGAGAGATCCCATATAGTTTAATGGCAAAGAAAAAGAATATTGCATAAGCATTGTTTGTTACATAAATATTCTTAAGGTTAACAACAGAAGATAATGACATAATTATTAGAGACTAACAAGAATAATTCGAGCTGTGAGCCTGAGGAATCGCATCTGAAATCTCATGATAGGGACAAATTTGGAAATACACTCAGCTGGAAGCTACGTTTTCACTCTTCTTAATCTACTTCCCGATCAGACCGTGCTCTCGACTACATCTACATAGAGATGTGTATAATAGAGATCGCAACTGAAATGCAAATTATTGCATTATGTCAAAATGTTAAAATGTTAGTTTATAGCTCATCTAGATAACTCTATGCCTTTTCAATATATATTGCCAATATTTTGCCTTCCTAAGAAGACGTACAAATTTACGTTTTCTTTGCATGTGCCAACCATCTTTAGTCCTCTAGGATTTTGCTGCATGCACAATAACTGACAATGCTGAACTGAAGAACGTTTGATGAATTAAGAGTCGAAGTCCTTCGATTTATCGATTCTCGAAACTATCTCGTGGATAACTGGAATAGCGCTGCCATGAATATGTAACCGATATGCAATAATTATCAGATGTGTTACCATATGAAACCTATACATTTGTTATCAGTTATGGTTTCTTGTTAACTACGTATGTCTGGAGATTCAAATTGAAGATCTGTAGCAGACACCAGTTCTCAATACCCCCCCCCTTCGTTACACAAATAGAACACCTTCACACGATTTTCCCAGGTCAGGAAAACAAATGTCATAAATCCTTGACCTTCACGGGTTTTAGTTACACGAATCCATAGATAAAAAAGTACAAAAGTATGTTTCTTTAAAATGAAACAGCTTATGTACTCCGACTTCTGCTGACATTGGTACCTTATATACAGAGTCTATGCATTATAATGAATTATAATAGGGTGTTATGATATATTCTATAGTACATATTTTTTTAACTATCTATTGAAATAAAAATGTACATGATGTGTTTTCAAAGTAATGAAATTAATTTTGTAGTGCGAGAATTGGGAACCCTGCGGCACCGAGACCGTTACGAGATGATAGCGAAATCTCTCCTCTTGATTTCAGTCCAAGTTTGAACTTGCTGGCATGAAAACATGTGGTTCTGTTGTGGTTCGCTAGATGTGTATTTTGTTGCGACGTCAAAAAATGGAGAAAAATAATCTCGAAGAACTTCATGTAATCAAGTTTTGTGTCAGGCTGATGGAGGGAGGGCGCTACTAGTGCCTACGAACAGATTCAGAAGACGTTTGATAAGGATTCTCTATCACATGCTCAAGTATTTCTGTGGTACAAAGACTTTGTAAAAGGGCGAGAAACGGTGGAAGATGAACTGAGATCTAGACACGCTGCTTCTGTGAGAACAAGCACAAACTTCGATGTTGTGAGGGTGCTATTTGTCAAATCGTCGTTTGGCAATTCAAATTATGTCCGATGAACTTAATATTAATGAATGTACTTAGTAGCCCCTCTCGTCCTCTACCCTTTGTCCACTACTATTTGGGGATGGCAGCTGCATTTGTACCTGGTTCAGTTGTTGCGTTCACACTGTTCCCAAGATGGAATGGGTCGTCAAAGCTTATCACCCAACAGGAAAAGAATGAATCTCCAAAATAATAATTATTTCATAACAGTTAAACATAAATTAATGACATAAAATAACAATAACAATAAAAATAAATAAGACTCAAATCATTGCTTCAGTACTTTGATCATTATTTGCAACAAAACTTCGACATTCTTGGTCGGTCCAGACTGAAAACAAATAAAAATACATGAAGTAACCGCCTGTGTGGTCTAGTGGTCAGAGTTCCTGGCTACAGATCCAGAGGTCCCGGGTTCGATTTACGACGCTACCAGATTTATCTGAGAAGTAGTGAGTCTGGAACGTGGTCCACTCAACCTCGGTAGGATAACTGAGGAACTATTTGAAGGAAATAGCTGCTCCGGGCTAGAGAACCAAAATTAACGGCATGGGGAATCGTTGTGCTGAGAACGCGACATCCTCTATCGGCTAGAGTTGGCACTAACTTCGCCGACAAGCGGCGGTTGCTCGGTCGGTATAGTTCGCTTGAGGACTTAAACCACAGAGTTTGTTTTTGTGGGTCGTGTGTGTGTGCGGGGGGGTCTCTGTTCCAACCATTTGGATACCTCACATGAAATCTGTGTTTTCTGTTTTATACTTTTATGTGAAAACTTTGGTTATACTATATGTATATATATATTTTGTACTTTTCTGATTTATTTCATATCCTGGGTCGCGCCATAACTCAAGCGGTTAGTTGCTGGCTTCCCACCGCTGCGGCCCGGGTTCGATCCCGGGTCTGGTCAAGTGGGATTTGTGGTGGACAAAGTGGCGATGGGACAGGTTTTCTCCGAGTACTTCGGTTTCCCCTGCCAGTCTTCATTCCACTAAATTCTCCATGATCATAATCACCCGGGGCAGGCTACAATAGGCCGATCAGTGGCCGCCGTGCCAAGTGGACCCAGTTGGACTCCACCCCCCACTAAGCGAATTTAAAAAAAAAATTATTTCACATTCTACTGTCTTTTTTTTATGTAACTCTGGAACCGTGAAATGTTATTATGTACATATTCATCGTTGGACATCTTTTGGCAGGATTCAGAACTAAGAGTTCACATGACACAGTATTTTTCTTTATTCGAGGTTGGCAATGGTTCCGATTCCGCCATTAATTGTAACCACGTGATGAAATCAACCAATGCCAAATATTGACCAATAGGAGTCGAGAATTGGTGGAGAGGTCATCGGTTTACCCACAATTCCTCTTACCCAAGCCTTCTCTTGGACAAGAAGCGCCATTTTGCTAGGTTGTTGTGAAGAGTGTCTTCTCCTTTGTCTTGTACTGAAGTTGTAAATTCTTACGGTTCGGGAGACATTGTTGTCAAATAAACGATTCGAGTAAGGTATGTCAAGTGTCAACACAGAAATTAAGGCCGATATTGATGCTAATGGGCCACAAGAGAATCAAGGAGGACATAATCATTCAATGGGCGGAAGGGGAGGAGGACGTGGCGGAGGACGACAAAGATTTGGAGGACCCGGCGGACGACAGAGAGATGATATGAGAGGCGGGATGCGTCAAGACGTAAGTAAAAGTAATATCTTGGGTGATATCTGGATAGAAAAGGTTTCAGCAAGCTGAACGAAGTTTTCCTCAACCCCCCTCCAACCTCCTTCATGTACGGAATAGTATGCGTCATATATTGAACGGATTCCGGCGGAGTCTTAATAATGCTGAGAACACACCATTTAAATTAGAAGAAAGCGTTCAGTTTACAAATGGAAGAAGCGCTTAGTTGACTGCTCATTGTGCAGAAGTGCGCCTGTCTAGGCGCGCGGTAAGGCGTCTGACTTCAGCGTGGTGCCTGATTTGAATCTACGCCGTGACCGTGAGTATAGGTACTGAGAACTTTACCGCCGATCCTCCAGGCAAATCCCGCAATAGTACTTGTACCTGACCGCGCCCTCTCCGATCTTTACCGATTAATTATACAGAACCATGCATTATTTACCGCAGTATGGGTTTCATTTAAAGTAGAGTGTTATTGTAAACTATAAAATTAAAAATAGAGTGATGTGGCTGTTAGGCAGAACCAGTGAACAAAAGCGTCGCAGTAGTTTACAACATGACTGTTGGGAGAATGGACAGAGGGTCTTACCTGCATGCATACGTTGCTGATATTTAACATAATCTCTGATTTTATGTAAATGAGGCACTGTATTCTTTTAGAGTTGTTGAAAGTGACCTCTGTTTGCCTCTTAGCATGCCTTGCAGTGTGTTATCAAGTTCTGCAATATTTTCTCTAATTTTCCTTTGGAAATTCAAGCAGTTAATTGTGTGAATGATGTTCACACCATGTTGAAGTAATGAAGCCAAATATGGAAATCTAGCAGTACTGTTAACATCACTGTATTTCTGTCACACTTGATATATCTGACTCTTGGTTTTGTTGCTACCTTTAAAGCCAAAGATGTTTGCTTTAAATGTTGGTAAAAGTAAAACTGTGGATTTATGTAGCAGTACTACAGCTGATCATGTTTTATGCTTGGGAGATATACCACATCAGAGGCTAATTACAAGATGTATATGGTACCACTTTAATTCTGACCATGTTTTTACCACAAATAGTTGATACTGGATACTTCTTGTTTTTAATTTGGCTGATGGTTATGTGAGGTGGAAGTTTCTAGCGCACATCATTGTGGGAATAAGCATGTTGGAAGGTCTGGGGATACTGAGGTTGTGCTGTGGTAGGAAACAGGAAATTTTTATTTTCACATTGTTTTGTGTATCATAATCTGGTAATTTAAAGAGCTTATCAAGGCACTTTCAAATTACAACATGAGATGTTAATTTGGTATTAAATGGAGTTAAAGTAAAGACATCCCTGCAACAGACCATGGAGGCCCATAGGGTTATGAGATATTGAGGTTCCCACATTTTTCTAGACAGTTGGCTCCTAGATGGTGCAAGGTTGTCAGCCCTATGTGCCAGCCGCTCTTTACCCCCAAGAATATTCCTGGTACTCATTTCTGTTAGAGGCTGAGTTGATCCCATGGCCATAGTGCTGCTCGAAGGATTAGGTCAATTGAAAAAATCCAGTGACCTCATTGGAACTTGAACCCTTGACCTACAGCTTGTAGCATAGTGCCTAAACCAACAATGCTACCATGTGTCCCTTATTAAATGGAGTAAGTAAATCCTATCTAATGTAAATTGATGGATCCTTGATAAATTGTTTAAATTAGAAAAATTACATTTTATATATATTTTGCTATCTTAAGATTTCCTTTATCATTAAGCCACTGAGGCAGAAAATAGGACTGGATTATGGTATATGCCATGCTTTTCTGACAGGCTTACATTGTTACTTTAACACTTCGCGGACCGGACGCCTAGGCCTAGGCGTTTGGGTTTTAAATGTGGCAGACCGGTCGCCGAGATTTAGGCTTTTAGGACACATTATGTTGCAACACACTATTCCTCACTTTGGTGGCTACGTGTCTGTAAAAGTACTGCGTAGCTGACCTTAGGAATGTTTCTTTTCCGACTCAGCAACGTGACCACTCTCTCTTCCCCTCTCACTCTAAGGAAAAGTCCCTTTGTTCAAGTTGAAGCATCTATGTGTGAGGCAAAATATTCTATGTCAACATGGCTCAGAGACAAAAGCAGTTGAAGGCCGTGCGAGCTCTCGGAGAAGAAGAAATCTATGATTATATCTCCGATGAGTTATCTGACTTGCCAAATGCTCCGTCTTCTGATAGCGAGGTCAGTGTCAGCGGCCCCCAAAATATTGTGACCAGAAGAGAAAGTGAAAGTGACAGTGAGACCTCCGATGAAAGTGCGAGTGCTAGCATTGCGGGGACAGCCCCATGGGGTAAAGTGGACAAAACACCCACTTTGGGAAAGTTTACTGGTGATCCAGGGGTGAGACAAATGCCATCGGACCCTACGCAAGTGTTTGAAGTAGCTGAACTGTTTTTTGGAGATTGTTTCTTTGACATGTTGTGTCAGGAGACCAACAGATACTATCTCCAACACCGTGAGGCGTATGACAGTACCTATAAGGTGTTGAAATGGGTGGATGTCACTTCAGCAGAAATGAAAATTTTTTGGGCAATAATCATTCTAATGGGGTTTACAAAGAGGGATAATTTGAAAGACTATTGGTCCACTGATCCATTTTTAGAAATACCCATTTTCGGCAAACTCGTGAGTCGTAAGAGATTTGAGCAGATATGGTGGTGTTTGCATTTCAATAATAATGAACTGCAACCACAATCAACGGGCAGGCTTTTCAAAATTCAGCCCTTAATAGACTTTTTCGTTGAGAAATTTCAGACAGTTTATAAGCCAGAGCAGCAACTGTCTTTGGACGAATCTGTGATTCCTTGGAGGGGAAGGCTTCGTTTTCGAACGTATAATCCTGGGAAACTCACAAAGTATGGCCTACTTGTTCGTGTAGTCACGGAAAGCACTTGAGGCTATATTGGAAATTTAGAAATTTATTCTGGTGAAGGCAAGAAATTGCAAGAAACTAGTGCACGAACAGCCAGTGGTGTGCCTGTTTCACCAATGTAGCTTCTGCCACATTGACAGGGAATGCTATAGACGCAGGAAAAGCCTCTTGGCACGGTGTACATCCCGTATGTCAAGGGAATCTCTGAGAAGTTCAAGCGCATAGGGAACCAGTATAATATTAGGACCATCTTCAAAACTAAACACACTTTACGATCTTCGCTCGTGAGAATGAGACCAAAAAGGGATCCTCAACAGACGGCACAGTGCGTCTATAGCATTCCCTGTCAATGTGGCAGAAGCTACATTGGTGAAACAGGCAGACCACTGGCTGTTCGAATCCATGAACACAAGCACAATCTCAAGCAGGGTCTTCTAGAGAAATCCAGGTTGGCTCAGCATGCATATGAAGAAGGTCACAGGGTAAGCTGGGATGAAGCTAGGATCTTTGAGGTTGAAAGCAACAGCAGATACAGAAAATACAAAGAATCAGCTCATGGCATGTTCATCCAATCCGATCAGCCAACCCAGTTTGGATATTTCTCCCATATGGATCCCCCTCATCAATGAAGAGGTTAACAAATCAAAAATGTAATTTTATGAATATTAGTGGTTCCACTACTCCTGCAAGTTTTGTTCCGGGGATTAGTCTGATTCCTGGAAGTCGCCATGGTGGCACAATTCTTTATCCAAGCAGATTAGGCATGCGTTATCCAGTTTTTACTTTCGTTTTTAATTGAATTCATGGAATATAACCTATACTTCTGTTTCTTTACATTGTTGACAAGTGCGTGCTTGGCACAAATTTTCTATCATGTTTTTATTGTGATTTTATCCTTTCCTCCCACTGATGGAACCGGTTGTCGGTTGTTCATAGGTTGTTCTTCTACAGACCGGGGTTTGTCCAGTGATTGAGACTAGCTCTTTCTAAGGGGCCCAACTGAGTGGGTTTATCCTTCCCTATCCAGCTGAAGATGGAGACAGATCCAGTCTCCGAGTGGTTTTTTGTCTTTTACATACCAGAGGATGGGTGAAGTCCAAAATAAGCCAGAAGAAGTACAATGAAAACAGCAATACAGTTCACTAATATTATGAACTTTTTAAAAACTTGAAGATTACCAGTACATGTTGAAACATCTAGTGGGTGTAATTTTTAATAAACATACAAAATCATCCATCTCCGGTGGCAGACTTTTCTCTTCCTTTTGGTTCATGGTCAAATAGCTAGTAAGGAATTTAATTAGTTGGCATTCTACTGGTGTGTCTGGTGGATAAAATAGTATATGTTTCAGCTGTAGGCTTAAAAAAATGTTCATAGTAACATATCTCCACTTAACATGGAAGTCGGTGATAATAGGATTCACATTATGGAATTTCGTGATATGGACACATTTTGAAGAATATAGATTTTGTGTAAAGCTGGAGAGTACTGTATTTTTATACTTAAGGCAGTGTCATTATTTGGGTATTAGACAAGAATAAACTGTCGTCATGAAGTACATCCCCTCTCCCGACATTGATCTTTGAACTATCCCACATTATAAAAAGTGACATATTTAAGCAGTTTATTGACATATAGGACATAGTGTAACATTGGTATATGTGTATAGTTTGCGAGGTTTCAGAACAGATTGAGTCAGTCATAGAGAACTGTTTTTTACAATAACCAAAAAAACAATGGACTGCTGTCTAATATTGCTGTCAGGTTCTTCATTTTGTTACAGAGAACTTTGGTAATGTTTGCAGAGCAGCAGACACATGTCCCATCTTGCTTGATGGTAGATTTCGTTGACTTATCTAGCATAAACTGCTGATAAAGTAAGATGTTCTGTAATGTAACTGACTCTACAACAAAGGTCTGCATGAGTTACATTGCAAACTCCACCTGTTTCACTCTCCGTAGGAACAAAAACGTTGTTACAAAGTTCACACACACACACACACACATTTGGTTTATTCTTGGGTTATGTTGTAATTCACAGCATTTCCAGCTGCATAGATTATGTAGCACGAAGTATATGAGATGGTAAGTTGCTGGTGGTTCTTGGTCTGCTCCAAATACCTAACTTGACGTTCACCCAAAGAGACTTGGAAAAACCATGATGAACTTCTTATAATGGTAGCTGGCAACTCAGCATGGGCTCGAACTGGGTACCTTCAGAATACAAGTCTTATTACTGCTATACCAACTTAACTTGGTGCCCACAGTTGTTAAAGTTAAACTAATTGAAGTGATATTTTCTACCGTAAATGCTATTAACAAATTAATCCTGATACCTTTCAAAGTTAGGTTCATGTAGGTGTACAGGTAAGTTCTTACCTTTGTTGAATGGTTCATGGCTCTGCATTTCACGGTGACCAGTGTACCATGGCTGCTAGGTGCATAAGATTTTTGCCGAAGGTTCGGTAACGTTCGGAATGAAGTAGCTACAATTTACAGATCACAGGAGGTGTTGAAAATGTAGTCCCTGCCAATTGCAGATTGATATCACCTTCAGTGACAGACTGTAGAAACCAACTGCAAAAGTGAGCCCTGCTAGCTGGATTGTGTGGCTGCAAGGTGCGCATGGATTATTGTTGTTTTATAAGGTCTAAACTTCAGCAGTTGTGTTGCCCTTCTTGCATTAGACTTCATTCTCATGAGCTAGATGTTTCAGTGATTTTCTAGGTGTTTGTTGAAGTCTGGTTCCTATGTCATATCATTTATCCTCAGTATGCACTCGGCACTTATGTTTTTGTTTCTAGTCAATTAAGAGGTCTGTTGATCTAAGTTTATTCACCAAATTGTGAATTGTTTGTCTCCTGGGAGCTCTTTCATCATGAAATTTATGTCAAAATTTTTGCCAACACTTAAAGCAGATCCATATTTTATATAGGTGTCATACAGAAATAACACATTGCTGCAAAGTATACCCTATCGTGATGGAACACAGTGCTCACAAATTGTAACTGAAAGCAAATGGCTAATGTAGTTGATAGCTGCTACCATTGCTGACAGATAGTAAACAAATACCCATGAATCACACTGCTTGCCATGAAACATGATGCCGTCCAGCAGTCAACTTCCTTTAATTCCAAACTTTATCAGCTATCGCGCCTACAGAGTCATCGGCAAAATATGTACCTCACCAGTCGCGGTGAAGAGCAGAGCTGTGAACTGGTCAACAAAGGCAAGAGCCTCTGTGTACTTCATAACGGTTCACATACCAATAATGTCTTTGATGATCATTGAACGTTGTGTTGGACTGCATTTTTTGAAAGAATTTATGACTACAGTCTCTGGGGTTGTCTCCTCTTTGGGTAAGGTAAAAGGTAAAGCTATCCCTGTAACAGGCCATGGAGGCTCATAGGGTTGTGAGAAGTTGAGGGTCCCACATTTTCTAGACCAGTGGTTCTCAACCTTTATGAGACCACGACCCAGTAAGTTCTTTTTTTATAAGACGAGGGCCCAGTCCCAACAAATTTACTCATAAATACCCTTCCAATTTTGTTAAAGTTTGTGCATGAAGCTAACATAATACTAGTAATTAATTATAGCATAATCATAAAGAGTATTAGTACACTTATGTATATGGTGTGGCATGTTGACAAACATATAAAATTTCATTTAAATTAGTTATCAATCACTGGACTAATGAAATCTTGTTGCATTTTGTAGTTTCCTCAGACCAACATCATTAAATTAATGTGTGCTAATTTTCATTGATATATCCCATGCTGATCACCAAAAACTTATGTTATTCAGCGTAAAATTGTTTATTGTATTATTAAATTGATTTTAATGATGTTGATTTGAAAAAAACGGCAGTGAGAAAAATATTTATGCATTGTAACTCACCATAGAAGTCAGCTGAGTAGGGGAAGAAGCAGAAGGATGTCAACTTGCCGGCAAAACACTTATTATCACATACACACACCAAATAATTATACATGTAAAGTATGTAATTTGATAAATAAAAATGTATGAATCTCTCAATTCTCAATTCAGCAAAGAAACAGTATTCAGTATTACTAGATTTGAGAACCGGACACAGACTGCCTTGATCTTCAATTTCAGTGGAAACATTTTCTTTATACTTGTTGATTGGTCACTGACATTTGCAACACAGATGTTATTTTGCTCAGTTCTGAGAACAGAGGATATGCTGCCCATTGTTGTAATCGGCATGTAGGCAATTTTTATGACTGGTCATAAACATCCATATTGCCTTTCCCGAATGTTGAAAGATTTGGATGTCTGAAAATTCCATGTTTAAAAACATACGGCTTGATCGCTGACATTTGCTACACAAATATTATTCTCCTCATTATTTCCAGTATAAAATATTTATTCATGAAAAATGCTTAGAAAATGAAAATGACAAATTCCAGAGTGGCCTTGTATGTAATTGATGCCAGGGCCCAGTACTGGGCCGCTGCCCTGCAGTTGAGAAGCACTGTTCTAGACAATCAGAGCTATTTAAAATAAAAAAATCATGTCTATGCAAACTACCCTCCCACCATGAAAGAATCCAGCAAATCACTAAAATGTGTCTGTTAATATCTAGAAGATGCTTTTCTCGGCAAGTATGATCATAGTGGCTGTGTTAAAAGTGAATGCGATCTAGTTCATCATCTGTCAATAATCCAAGACTGGGAGGTAAAACCACAACTTCAGAAGTAGTACAACCGTTCAGTTGAACTGTGTATGTTATGAGCATTGAAAGCTAGACTGGTTTATGTAATGGTGGCAGTTTTTCTGTAACATGGCAGTCAATTATAGTTAAATTATATGCAAGCATGCAATTTTCATGTATATTATGATTTTGTCATTTATAAATTCCAGATGTGTGAGAATGAACTTTCTCTAGCTACCTTAATTTTCTGAAACTTGGCTTTTCATTTTAGTCCTCATCCTACAAAACTGTTTTTGTGCTCATATTAGATGTCTTTGTGAGATAGAAGGGAACTAGGGGAACTAAGTACAGATTGGGTATGATGGTTTTGAGAATATTTTAGTCCACATTTAAATTTGGCTTGTGTCATTATGTATGTTTAATTGTTTCTGTGTCTCTGGTCTTAGAATGTCTTAGTTTTTTATCTTATTTGTATCTTCATTCTACAAGATTATGAAAACCATATTTAAACTCTTTGCTAGAAATAGTTCATTACATTTTAGGTGAAAGCAGAAAATAATGTGGAGGGTGAGGATGCAGATGGTCAGGGTGGTGTAGGCCGAGGGGCTGCTGGTAGTGGCCGAGGCAGAGGGAACCGCTTTCGTGGTGGAGCTGGGGCACGTGAAGACTGGGGCATGCGCAACCAGGATGTAAGCACCTAAGACTTCATGTCTTTTGTGTCTGTAGCCTAACATTTTTAAATTTTTTTTTTTTTTTTGCTTCAGAACTCTGTAGGAATTAGCATTATTTTAGAACCTGTCAGTAACACGTGTAAGACAATTATAATAAATTTATAGTATTGAAATATATGGGCCTTGTTTGATAATTGATGTAGCATGCTTTCACAAGTAAAATTTAGCCATTAATTTTCATATTCCTTCTGAAGTGTGTTCAAATGGTGATGATGCATGTAATTTCACCAGTCTCCGTGAACACATCAAGGTACTTAGGTATTGCTGCTTCACCTAATCTCACCAAACTGGAATAAATTCTCAAAAGGCACATAGCATGCATATGTGTGAGGAAGATAAATTTTTGCCTTTCAATGGCATTTGGTGTCTCTCTCTCTCTCTCTTTTTTTGACAGGCTGAAGGTGTAGGCATATGAAAGTCAGTTCTCTTGGTAATTTATGCCTGAGTAATGTAGTAGGAATATTTTCTGAATATATAAAGACTTCATGATAATGTGAAGCAAGATGTAATTCCCAGTCTTCATAAGTGAGGAAAGCAAACTGAAACTTAAAATTGCAGAGCAGTCATATGTAGGGTGTTTGAGAAAGGTGTGAAAAAGGAAAAAAATTATACTGGGAAAAATATTTATTATGCAGAAGAAGTACAAAATTCAACATTTTTCTTTCTATTACCAAGTTTCAGTGTGAGCACCATTATTTGCTTGGCACATGTTGAAAATGTTTGATCTCATGCCATGTCTGCACAAGGATCAGTGTTGCAGTTGCCTCTGCTGTTTGATGTTGCAGAGTTTGCAAGTATGTAATTCTCCCCTATAGATATTCTTCACATGACCCAGAGGAAAAGGTCCAGTCTTGTTATGTCTGGTGATCTTGGGGGCCATGCAAGGAAACTACCTCTTCAGTTTCACTTGTTCAGAAAGCATTTGCTTAAAAACTGATGGACATTGTCCAGGTGTTACTGGCTTGTGAGAATTGTTTGCTGAAAGAAAGAAGATCCAATAATGCAATCATTCCCTGGGCATGCGCCTCTGATATTTGATCTCTTGAGGTGGTTGACTACACATTCTGCAGTTATGTCCATTTATGATGTAACGTGAGAGCTGAAAGCCAAGATAGTGGCCATTGTTAGGAAGCACTGAGGTATACTCATGCTCTTTGTATTTGCTGGATGTCGTCAGACAACGTGGCAGTTTCTGATTTTCAACACTTTTTGTCACTGTCCATTGTCCATCCCACTTCGTAATGGAATTGTAGCTTTGTTCTGAACTTGCATGCACTGACCAAAACTTAATACCAGATGCTTATAACAGATTTCAGCTCCACGAGCCACAAAATGCAATCCACCTTCTGCCAAGCCATCACCATGACTTATAGTATTAAAGGGGATGCACATGCATGACGACTAATATTAACATAAACCAAACTTGGAACTTTAAGATACAGAATGGTGAGATCATATCCTGTGTAAACACTTTTCCACATAGTCCCCCACCTTCCATGGATACCTGTATGTACATATTTACAGTGGGTAGTTTGTACTAAGGGGCCTTTTCTGCTGGGGAGAATTGTTGAAGTAGCATGTTTTGAGGACCAAGAACTACTTTTAGTGATGAAATAAAAAGGAACATAAAGATCAGGAATAGGTAACCAAGTGAAGGCAGGTAGTGAGATAAAAGGGACAAAAGAATAGGAATAACAGTGAACCAAGTGAAGGCAGAGCTATGCCTGTGTTAAAACATGTGGGGCCAAGGACCATGTGCATTTACATCAGAAAATATGATATTTCTTGTGCACTGTACTACCACTTGAATTCTAATTCCTAAAGCATTCCAATAGGAATGAAATTTCTCGGTATGGGCAGTTCATGAATAGTTAACACACTGCCTTTTTCCATGAAATTATTCACTTATAATATTGTTTCACACTTTCTGTTGGTTTCACCTGTTAACATCATGAACCATTTTTCTGTGCAATGGCTATTGCTAGCACTTTTTTACCAGAATTAAGAAAAACGATTAACTATGGTATATGTTAATACTGGTTTGAAACTGTTCAATGATGTCAATATATTGTGTCCAAGTATCATAGAAGGTTGTGGTAATGCAAAGAAAACTTTTGTAACTTAATGAAAAACTATTGTGAATGAATCTCTCGCGTATGTAAATCTTCACCTGTTTCGCGACACTTTGATGGGGATTCTCCACATTTATGTGGTTACAGATGTGGATTCTCCACATTTATGTGGTTACAGATGTGATTGAGTTAAAGCATAGAGGGGTATTGTCATTTTCACCATTCATTCATCTTTAAAATTGGAAGCACCCAAAAAACATTTGGCATATTGTTGTATCACCAATTACATTGGTTGATCTTTCTAGTCTTTTAGAAAAATGTACATGTATACATTGTACACTTTGTTTCCTCACTCTCTTGGCATCAGTGAATAGGTGAGTGAAGAAAAATGCTGACTGAATGCTGATGCAAAACAACTGAAGCAGTGGGATGAGCTGTAAACTTGTCTGGACATCCACTTATGTCAACACATTTGCTGCAGCCACATCTGTCTATGAATTGAGTTGTGATACTGTTTAGTAGGCTTTGTGTGTATTAGTTAAGTGTTTCCCAGAGAGAACACTTCGCTTTGTAAAATTCCACTGATAACTCTTAACCCTTTTTGGTCCTATGTGCCAACTGATGGGACATGAGCGGTGAAGAAAACTACTTACAGAAATAAATGGTCTGGAAGGATTATGGTGTAAAAAAAAAGGCATAATTTTTATAGCTTGTATTTAAATAAATTACATTATGAAAATCAGGTTTGATTTTATTATACATTTCTTATAAATGTATTACATGACCATATGCCATCAAATATGTGTTCTACATTTTCAGTGAGAGTGGTATATTTGCTTTTTTACTTCAGAAAGACCTTTAACATCAGGACTGCTGCTGGAATCTGTTTCTAGGTTTTATTTTTGCTGCAGTATAACATGGAAATAGATTTGTCCATGTATATTGTATTAAAGGCTAGGTTTACATACTGCATGTTTTGTCACATTTTGGAGACTCTGGAATTAGGTTGCCCCAAGAAATGGATTGGAACTTTCATTTGGGAATTAATACGTTTCAGTCATTTTGGGCTGAAAAATTTATGGTCTTTGCTGCTGTTAATGGTGGATCATGCACCCAAATATTGTCATTTGTTATTGTTATAACATGAAAACATTTCAAGAGGTGGGTGTGCAAGCCATGCACCTGCTGTGGTGCAGGCTTTAAGTGTTAAGGCTTGAAGCGAGAGGTATACAGAGGCTGGCACTTGCAGATGCTATGGAGACTTCACACATTATTTCAGTGGATAATTATGATGCCATCTCAACCATGTCTACAGATGTTTGCATTTCAAATTGAATGGAACTGAGATTGCCTTGAAGTATGAAAAAACTTGGACAGCTTGGAATATATACCTTCACCCACTCCAAAGGAAGACAGTTTATATTGTATATGATTTTGTTAATGATAGTATACATATTACATGATGAAAAATCAAAATGCTTTATGCTATTTGAGTGTAAAAAAATATGTGGTTTGGTTACTATTGAAATTGCAGTGGCTTATTTTCTACAAAATCGTGCCATCTTTTCAGAAGCAAAACATCAGATGGTGTTGCTTCTTCCTGTTGTTCTGTATAACTTAGTGCTATCAAGTGGGCAGCTAATCCTTCAATGAGAAACACCTTTTCATCTCGAGCTTCTTTGTTTACTGTCTCCATTATGAAATTGTCATTTCATGCTATTCATCACGGTCAAACAGTTGTCGGGAGACACTTTTATCAGAATGTTAGCACCCTGGTACTTATTGGCTGAGGCTGATCAAGTCAGTCACTTGAATCTTATGCCTGTTGTGAGTGTGGTGACTGTGTTCATTTCAGTTCTTGTAGTTACTAGTTCCTTTGGCAGGACATATATGGCAGTGGCATGTAATATTCATGCAGAGGTAATTAAATTATGGCACATGGCTTGTAGGTGAGTTTGCAACCCTGCAAAATAATAATACAGTGCTTTCTCAAAAATTGGATGCAGAAGTGTTCATTATGCCCTCATTAGTCCATGTATAATTTCAGAAATTTGTATAAAGTGTTTCAGACCACTAGTCTTTGACTACAGAAGATCATACTCATCAAACATGGCAGTATTCTGCTAGTTCTTGTAGGTTTTAAGGGGCAGAATTATGAAAAATCATATAACCATTTTTTAGTTTATGGTGATGGTTTGCAATTGCTCTATGTTTTCTGCAGTTGATGGAACAAAAATGGCTACAGGAAAGAGGCTTCATTTACATTTGGAGAAAAAAAGAGACATCCCTATTCATCACATGGGATGTTTCATGTGGTTAACATTCTTCATCTTCATATCATAAATTTAATAGTAGATGTACTTGCTTCATTTGACAGGATCGTTTAAATGAAAGACTGGCTGGCCTTTCTGCACCAACACATGATCTTCCCCCTCAAGATACACGTGAGAAGAAATTCACTGGCCGATGCCGCTTGTACATTGGTAACTTGACAGGTGATGTAACAGAAGATGAGATTACCCAGCTGTTCCAGCCTTATGGTGAGACTGCTGAGCTTTTTGTGAATAAAGAAAAAAACTTCGCTTTTATTAGATTGGTAAGTGATTGTGTCATACGTCTTGCTTTTAAATGTGGCATGGTACTTGTAAAAGTGTACAATCTGTTGAATACAAGCAGTGAAGAAAAAATAGGAATTACCGCCTGATGTTGGTGATTAAACCTTTGCGGCTATATACGTATCTGAGCTTCGTATTACAAGAGTAAGCATTGAATGCCTATCATTTTTGTGCTTTAAAACATTTATTAATAACTCATGCCCACCCACTCCAAGCAGTACCCAAACTACTTTAGTTGTAATTTTCATTTTGTGCATCCTGTTATGTTACGAAGGACTTCAATAAAGCATTGTACTTTAGTTGTGGTTTAGTTTGTACATTCAATCCTTTCATAGATTTTGATAAAAGTATATATTTGTCAATGTGTACTATTCACTTTAACAACATTTTTCTTGAAGGTTTATATTATATATATATATAATTATGTACTTTTTAGTTCAAGAGAATTTGAAAAATGTTGAGAATTAGGATGAGAAATTTTCTCTGCTAGACCAATTTTTTTTCACTGTAATCGTAATTTGTAACACTTGTCCTGCACAATGCACTAAATTGTATTGCTTATTTACCCTCTTGTTGTTAGGTCCTTTTTCAGTGAAATGTTTTCACAAATCGTTGTATTTAAAAATCGTTCTAGAGCCACTGCCTTTTTCACAGTGGTCAGAAAGAGATATACCCACAAATTCAACCCTGTTAGGACCTTTATGAATATGAACATAACCTAAAAATCTTTGCTCCAGAAGAGTAAGAAGGGCCATTGACTGTAACAAGATTTTGGTGGCAGATTGATTTGTGCTAGCCTTGCCAACCATTGTAACTCTGATTAGTCTCGTAGTTTGAATGCTGTATGCAAATCAAAAGTAAATATTTGTGAAGTCCTCATCGACGGCCCCTCCAAATTCAGCCCAAAAATTCTAGACTCATGCACGTGAATTTTGGATATGTCTTTGAGCTCTTGACAGATTTTGAAGGAACTTTGGGAAGTGTACAGAATGCCTCGTTTTATATGTGCAGTGAAAATATCAGAAGTAACAGTACATCAGGGTTAACTATTTTGCATCTGTGTGAATGAACCATCAGTCATCCTTATCTTTTCAGGATTACCGTGCTAATGCAGAGAAAGCGAAGAGAGAGTTGGATGGTCAGATGAGAAAAGGCAGAGCATTGAAGGTTCGCTTTGCTCCTCACAGTGCAGCAGTGAAAGTGAAGAATTTAACTCCATGGGTGAGCAATGAGCTTCTTGAGAAGGCATTCTCAGTGTTTGGGGAGGTGAGTTGAATTCCTGTCAGCAGCTTCTCTTCTGTCTCTTGCTCTCTCCCTCGCTGTGCATTTAATTTATATTGTGACGTATTGCGCTATGGAGGACATCCCCTACCCCGCCAGTGGTGACGTGGCAGCGTCGGAGCTACCATTGCTCTGGTAACAGGCCAGTCAACACTCCTCCCCCTCCCCCACGGTCACGTGGCAGCGCCGCCTACTGTGACGTAACATGCGACGAAATGCTGGGTGAGCAGTATGTGAGAGTAATGTGTGATCAAGAGTGACAGTTGAAATATAGCCGCTGCCGGAGACAGTTAAAATGTAGCAGCCGCCAAAGACAGTTGAGTTGGAACAGTCGCTGAGTTCAGTTGTAGCGGAAAGAATACCGATAGTGTGAGAAGTTATTGGGAGTGTGTAATACAGTGACACTGGTATAGCTCCCATATTGTACCGTGAATGCGTGTAGACTATTGAGGACAGTGTGAAGAGATTTGTGTGTAGTGTTTGTAAATTGTGTAAACCCGCAACAGTGTTATAATTAATTGTAGCCAAGACTGGTAGGTTAAATAAACCAATTAACAATCCAAACAGCGTCATCAGTAGCAAGACACATTACAATATGATACAGCTGTTGTTCCCTTATATAATTTGAAGACTTTCGCAGTAATTACATACATCATTTTAGATTAAGAGGATTATTTGCTCATCTTCTGTGGTACAAATCAAAGAGAGTGACAAGTACATGATCTCCCATTTTCTGGTTACATTTCAAACTACTAGTTGATGTGTTTCATAATCAGATGACATGTATTTCATAAAAATAATGTTATGATGTGCTCCTTTGATGCTGTGCTGTGTGCTTATTCTTGTTTCCAAGAGTACCACATACTCTGAAAATATATATTATCATTGCTTTAATTGCCATTATATGGCATGAATTTGAAGTCAAATATGTTCAAGGAGTGCATCTAAGTTTGTCAACTTTGAGGTTCTGTTTTTTTTTAATGTGCTGTTTGCCACATCACATTCAACACTTAATCATAATTTTCATGAAAATAATGTTAGTCAAAATTTTGTGAAGTTTTCTTGTCCGTGCACATATAAATCATGTTGAGTCTGTAGGCATGAATATCAGTACTGTGTTGTCACATCATATTCATATGTAGCAGATCTAGCAGGTAGACATGTGGTCTGAAAAGTAGTATTTTTATTTCAGACCTTTTGCTGGGTGGAGGGGAATGAAAATGTCCTGAAAGAAGTTTCACTGTGCCCGTAGCCACCCATGGGAATGACTGTAGTGATGACTAAATGTCCATATTGTTCTTGGGTGCCATGGGTTTGCTAGTCTGCATTGCATGCCTGATGTCCATTAATTTCAAATTAGCAGGATACACAGTGCACAAGAATCAAGGAATCTGTGTGTTAAGTGTGTCTTGCTTCCACATGTTCTCCAGATGTAATGCTGCATGATTGGTTGAATTACATTTTTTAGCATATTTTTCTTATGAATAATTTCAATTGAAGAATACAGTAATCATCCTGTAATTGGTTAAAATGGTATGTGCAGCCTCATCTAAAAATGTGCAAGTTTTTATTCATAGTATATAGAACGTAATATTTTTGCTCCGTGCGAGTTCTTAACCCGTTGCCGTGGTTCGTCGTGTATGTTTCGTCAGGGATTTAAATCGTCTGGGGGGGTTCGGCGTGTATGTTTCGTCCAGCTGCACACCTATGTTATAACGCCCATAATAATTGATGGTTTTGCTGTAGATTGTTGGATTTTTCGCTGGCCTGTTGTCACAAGAACAGAGTATACTAAGCCAACGAGTTTAGCTGAGATAAGTCATCGTTACATATGCCTGTCTTGCAGCAAATTCGTGTTGCTTCTTGTAGCGGTTTCGTCACTCAATGGCGTATTTGCTTTGCTTGTGAAGTAATAAACACCAGAGAGGTGATGTGTGCTGTTGTATATAATATCATATTGCCCTGAGCTGGCCACACAAACACATTCCATTGGAATTCTTAGAAGAGGGTTGTCCAAAATGTTATTCTCGTAAAATCGATTGCTTTCGCACAGTACATAGCACCCATTTCTTAGAAATACGCCACAATTTAAGGCAGAACACTGTGGTCACCCCCTGAGACGATACGGATGTGTGTGGGGGAGGGAAAAGTACTCATTATCGCTCCAGTTGACGCCATTTTATCGTACTGACCTTGGTGGTCGTTTCGAGAGCCAGCTCTGTGTTTAGACTAATGCTTCAAGGCGTCACCTGCTTACATAGCCGAGATACCGGGTGCTCATATTATAAGGCAAGGTTATAAAACCAACTTTTAAGATCATTTTAGTGAAAGTTTCATCCTTCAAGGCGTACCATTCTCTGCTCAAATACTAAATAACATGCTTCCATTGAAGATATAAAGGGGGTTCATATTATAAGGTAAGGTTATAAAACCACCTTTTAAGATCATTTTAGTGAAAGTTTCATGTTCCTATCTCATAGAATTTAAGAACAATGATGAATAAATAATTTTCGAGCAAAATTTAAATGGCCGGCTGAATATATTACCGCAGGAGCCGCGGCCGCGGAATTTAAATGACCACGTCAAAAGGTTAACACTAGGATAACAGTGGTTCATAATTGTAAGTACTTGTCATTTTCAGATTGAACGAGCAGTCATTATTGTTGATGAACGTGGAAAGTCAATGGGAGAAGGCATTATTGAATTTGCTAGAAAACCAGGAGCACAGATGGCATTACGGCGATGTACAGAAGGATGCTTTTTCCTGACGGCGTAAGTGAATGTGCTTTGTATGTAATGAATTTTTGGTATGAGGGATTTCTAACAAATAACTGAATTTAATATAGTATTAGTTTCAGGACATTTCACCAAAATACATAAATTAGCCAAATCTTTACCTCTTTCACAGTCTGTTAATTTAATATACATGTTTAAGCTGTTGGAATTATTCAAAGTTCATGCAAAGATGCATTCTCAGTTTTTGAGGCTTGCATATCACAAACAGATATTACAGAAACTAAGTGTATGAAGGAATGGATGATCAGAATATCCTTATGACCTGAATGTAAATGTGTGAATTAAGTTTCCAGGCAATAATTATGGAATAGTCCTTTGGAATATTCTGTTTTTATTACAATTTTTAGTTCCCTTCGTCCAGTTGTGCTGGAACCGTTTGAGCAGCTAGATGATATAGATGGCTATGCTGAGAAGAGTCTGCCAAAGAAGAATCCTGAATACTACAAAGCACGAGAAGTAAGTGTTAGGTTTGAGAGCAAAATTATTTGGATTGTAACATTTCTGACAGTTAATTGTAAAAGCGCATCTTCCATTGGTTATGTTACCTTACATTTACTTGTATGTGGTTAATCACATAAATATTGCTTCCAGGTTGGTCCTCGGTTTGCGTCACCTGGGAGTTTTGAATATGAATATGGAACCCGTTGGAAACAGCTTTATGAATTATACAAGCAAAAGGAAGAAGCTTTAGAACGTGAAATGAAGATGGAGGAAGAGAAACTGGAGGCTCAGATGGAATATGCTCGCTATGAGCATGAGACTGAAATTCTCAGAGAACGTAAGTTCTTACTGAATTTGGATTTCTGTGTGTCTTATCTCATATACATAACACATTTACATCTGTGTAAATGACACTTCTGTTTGAAAGTGTTTTATTTATTCATTTTTTGCTCTTCATGTTTTATCATCATGCAAATTGTCATTCCACTTATAGTTGCCATAGAACATGAGAAATCTGATTACTTATTTCACAGACTGAAATACATGCGACCTTTGTGTGTATAAATATGGTGTGTGTTGTTAACATATGATAAAATGAACTCGAGTAGGCTCTATTTCTGTGGTGGTCGTCATGATGAACTAAATGAGGAATTACCGTATGAAGATGGTGATTAGAATTTTGTGGCTGATATAATCTGAGCTTTCCACCGTACAGGAATACTGTACTGTCCCATAAAGTGTAGAAACTTCTAGTTGTAGTCTTATTTTTAATGTTGTATATTCTCATTATAGAATTACGACAGCGTGAGCTTGATCGTGAGCGTCAGAAACGGGAGTGGGAAATGAAGGAACGTCAGGCTGAAGAGCAGCGATTGGCTGATGAAGAACGTATGCGTCGCCAGCAGGAGGAAATGCAACTGCGAATGCACCACCAGGAAGAAGAGATGCGTCGCCGTCAGCAAGAAAACACACTTTTTATGCAGGTAAGGCTCGTTTGATTTATCTGCAAGTCTTCAGGTTGCAAATTTTATGAACATTATGGAGATCCTTTGTAATCTGGGAAAAGTGAAGCAACCTTTGTTAGTATTGTATAATTTTCATTTTAATTATATCATTTTAAATATATTGTTATTTTATCCACACACACACAAATTGATCATATTTTCAGATTGCTTTCTATGAGAATTTGTTCACTTCAAATGAATACTCGTTCAAAAGTAAAGTTTGCAAGTGTAAATTGTATTTAATGCCCAGAAATGACTGTAGTGACAAAATAGCAGAGTGAAAGTCACTCACTGTTGACAGAATTTATAGGAAAGATATAATGTAGTCAAAAGTATGTTAAGTATTCATACATAGGTTACTGCCCTCCACCATTTACTTTTCACATAGCACCCCTATTTGTAGACTCATTTCAGGAGCAAATTAAATGTGATTTAACCCCATGCTTCAAGCATATGGTTTTGAAAGTTGTTATGTGGCCGAGGATTGTAAGTATTTATGTGTAGGTTACTGCCCCCCACCATTTACCACATTTATATAGTACCCCTATTCGTAGACTCATTTCAAGAGCAAATTAAATGTGATTTAACCCTCTGCTTTGAGCATACATTTTTGATTATAAGTAATTGGCATGTACTACTATCTGCTTGCTGATTTATATATTATGTATGAAGAATGCCATTTTCTGAGATGTGGTGCTGTGTAGATTAGACCAGCATTCAGTGGCTCTTTTGTAATAGTGCATAGAACCCGCCATTCAAGCTTTGGAAGTGGGCAGGATGACTTAAGGGAAGTCAGTCATACCTTCATGATAAGAGATTGTTGCACATTTGTGTTACTATACTATTTCTGTCACATGTCCACCCTGCCTCCCCTCTTGACTCATAGCTTCTTCTGGTGATCATTTGCACACTTCACTTTTCATTGTGCTGCTGCTTCGCATAACATGTTTCAAGGCAAACCAATTTCTACTTAGTAAATATGGGTGGCACTTCGAGGATGTTGAAAGGAAATGGAGGGGAAGTTATGAAAATGAGCTGGAAAGTCAACTGCTTTCCACTTTATACCATTCACAGCCATATTTTAACTTTATTAAACAAGTCTTGTTAAAAGCTTGATACAAAGACTCTTAAACCCTGTGCTATTTATGCTTAGTGTAGGTTAAGCATTGATCCAACATGGTAAACGAAGCAGAATAACCCAGAATAGACTGAAAGGAAGACTGATGTGGAAAACAGACATGTGCTATGGCCAGTTAACAGACTATTATGCTGAAGTTATGTTCTTCACCTGCAACCACTCAATGTAGACTACAAGGTGTGGCAATAAAGAAACCGGATTCATGCTCTAACCCTTTATTAAAAAAAAATCAGACAGTTGAAATGTTATCCCCTTCAATGTAGTCCCCTCCCCGATCCCTACACCGCTCCATGCGAATTTTCCACTGTTGGAAGCAGTGCTGCAGGTCATCTTGTGTTATGCTCTTCAAGAGTTGCGTCGCTTTTGCTTTCACTGCATCCACGGACTCGAACCTGGTCCCTTTCAGCGCAGACTTGATTTTTGGGAAGAGAAAAAAGTCGCACGGTGCTAGGTCCGGAGAATACGGTGGATGTTCCATCACTGGAATGTTGTTTTTTGCCAAATACCTCTTCACAGATAGCGCGTTGTGTGCTGGCGCGTTGTCGTGATGAAGAACCCATGAGGCATTCTTCCACATGTCTGGTCTCCTTCGTCGCACACGTTCACGGAGGTACGTCAAAACATTTTTATAATAAACCTGATTGACAGTCTGACCTTCAGGCACCCAATCAATGTAGATTACCCCCCGGATATCGAAAAAAACAATCATCATTGCTTTGAATTTGGACTTGCTCATGCGCGCTTTCTTCTTCCTAGGGGATTTGGGGCTCTTCCAATGCATGGATTGTCGCTTAGTCTCTGGATCATATTGAAGAATCCAAGTTTCGTCACACGTAATTACGTTTTGGAAGAAATCAGGATCATTTTCAATGTTTTCAAGAGTGTCAACACAGCAATTCACTCGATGTTCCTTTTGCTGGGGGGTAAGGATTTTTGGCACCACTTTAGCACACACCTTTTTCATGCCCAGATCGTCGTGCAAAATCTGTCTAACACTTTCCTTATTGATGTTCGTAAGTTCAGAAATTGCTCGAATGCTCAGTCGACGATCTCTTCGAACAATTCTAGCGACCTTCTCCACATTCTCTGGAGTTTTCGCAGTGGGAGGACGGCCCGATTTTGGATCGTTCCCGACGTTTTTCCTACCCTCCATAAACTTCTTAAACCACTCGAAAACTTGCGTGCGAGATAGACACTGATCACCATATACTTCTGTCAACAAATTGTAAGTTTCAGTGGCAGATTTTCCAAGTTTTGTGAGGAATTTGATGTTAGCACGTTGTTCTGCATTAGCACTCAGCATTATTCCGACGGAGCTCAGAAACACGATCCGCTTCTAACAATGGTCGCGGCCAGACTAACCGATGCACGTGAATGAAACTTTGTGTGACGGTAGAGGGAAGTCCAAGGGTCAATGCCCTACCCTCCTCTTCGTCAATGACGTGGCCGGAAATGAGTCATAAAAGTAATCCGGGTTCTTTATTGCCACACCTTGTACTATCGGTGTATTTTTATGATTATGCTTAAGTGACTTTGTTGCTTAAAGGTATGTGGAATGTGTATTCTTTGTGTGAAAAATAGTCTGTGAAGAGTAAATGTGAAGTGGGAAATTTTATTAAAAAGTCTGACTGAACTTCTAAGGTGGGAAAAATTAATTGAGAATTTGTTACTCAGATAATTTTAATGCACCTATGGGCCTAATGTCTATACTTCAAAAAACAAACCTATCCGGGAAGTACCGTATGGCCACCACATACTACCTCTGATGGTATTATAGAAAACCCTGTATTTCAGTTTAAATGGGAGAACTACAGTGGAATTAAAGTGGGAGTTTCCACTTACATTGTATACCAGAGTTTTGTTAATGTTTGTTTAAAAATTACAGTATATGCAAAGTTGGCACTAACTTTGCCAACAAGAGGCAGTCACTCGGGTTGGTATAGTTCGCTTGCGGACTTAGGTCACCGAGTTTGGTATTTTTGTTTGCGTCATTCTACAGTGTACTTGTAGTGTATGATATTCCATGAGGATGTACATATAACATCACATAGGTCAAAAGGTTTATTGGAATAAATTATGAACTTGGCACATGGTAGCGTAGTTGGTTGAGGCACTGCTACAAGCCGGAAGGTTGCAGGTACAAGTCCTGATGAGGTCATTGGATTTTTTCAATCGACCTAATCCTTCCAGCTACACTATGGCCCTGGGGTCAACTCAGCCTCTAACAGAAACGAGTATCAGGAATATTCTTGGAATGTTCTTGGGGGGGGTAAAGGGTGGCTGGTGCGTAAGGCTGACAACCTTACCGCCATCTGTGAGCCAGTTGTCTAGAAAATGTGGGAACCTCAACATCTCACAACCCTATGGGCCTCCATGGCCTTTTACAGGGATACCTTTACTTTTTTTTTCCTTGAAATTGTAGTATGTGCATCATACAGTGTATTTGTGGCATAGATGTTCATTGAGGATGTATGTATAATATTGCATAGGTCAAAAGCTGTAATTAAATAATTATGAATGTGAAATTATGCACAAAAATTTTTGGTAAGACATGTGCTTATGGACTAAAATTTAAATGGTTTCTGTTCAGAGGTTATTCAGCCATAGTGAATCCATTGATTTCATGCAATGCCAGCCATCATATGAGAGTTGCTAGTTTTTATTTGTAGGTCAGGCAGCCAGCATTGAGGTTTTGAATTTTATTTAAGGCTCATCAGTTAAGCAGTTTGTTGGATCAGCAGGAGCAGGCATTACGACAGACTCCAGCTGGTTATGACTCCCCTGTTGCAGACCCAGTCATTCGAGATTATGATGCTGTTGGAGGTCAGTACCAAAGTTTCTACCAGCCATTCTCATTGGTGAAACAATTTTTATTTATTTTTTGCATTTGTAGAATGAATATGGGAATTTGAGGGAACCAAAATGTTGATTTTCCTTAGCTAAAGATTTTCATTGTAAAACCACTTTCTGTTATGCTAGTGACAAAATTGATGATGTAATTACAGTTTGAACATAGCGATAATGTAGCATCTACTATTGAGCTCAAAGTTGTAAGGACTTCTTTCCATTTCTTTGTATGACAAAACCATATTTCTCTTCTTCAGGTGCTGGACCAGGATCAATTCCACCGGTAATGTACTAAATATTAAATATTTTTACTACTAAAAATATGAATTCTTTTACCAGGTCTTTGTCTTATATTTTACAACTTTATTATTAAAAGATGGGCATGTGTGTCTTGCTTTCAATTTGAGTGTGAAGGTGACAGTGCAGAGACCGTTCCAAAGTTTGTTCTTCCATTGTTTTGGTTTAGTTACATTACAAGTGCAAAGGATATTGATTTTGAACGTTTCTCTTCTTACCTCCGAAGATATTGAAATAGTTTTGTGGGATTCATCTTAGATTTTAATCTGTTTTTGATTTACATGCTGTCAGATGCATTAAATGCATTAGTGAGCTTTGTCTGAACAGTTGACAGTTATATAAGAGGGTTAAGTGTTCTAAAGTTTGACATAGAAAATATTAGTATAAGAGATTCGTAATGGAAATATGCTCTTGTAACTTTTATTTAATATAATTCTGGAGATTCAGATTTCAATGTATTGATTTAGCAGACTTTAATGATAGAGTAGCGTCTTTGCCATAGGGTTAAATCTAACTCTTATTAAATTTAGGTTTGTTAATGGAGTGCAGTTTGTTTAGTAATTTATAGCTGTGACTGGGAAAGTTGTAAGGAAATATAGGAGACACAATGGTGTGAGCCAGAAATGAAGTCATACCATTTCTGTTTGTTGCTCGGAGTTTTGGAGTTCACTGTTAATTTACACTACAAGATTTTTCTGTACTTAATTCCATTCATTAGAAGTGGAAAAAAGCATTGTTGAAGTCTTGGCAGTCATTGTAGAACTGGAGTAAATCTTGTAGCTGCTGAAGCAGCTGATACTGGAGTAGTCTTTGCAAGTGTCACTTTCGTAGACGTTTCTTGCATGCCACGTGATCTTCTGCTGAAGGAGATGACCTATCATTTACAGATTGACCCATTCACAGAACATGAGGGCTCATTTGAAAGCAGAATGCATTGGTAGAGGTCTTGGTAGGAAATGAATAAACAGTTTGCAGTGGAAGTCCATTATAACGAGAATCCAAAGATGCGAAAAACTGACATATTTATTAATTCAAAACCTCTGTAAATATGAACCACTCCAAAAATCAGTAAACAGATATTTATTTAATTGCAAACAGTGAGAACATGTAGTTTATGTAAGGGTCTCAATAATTAATCTGTAATGCGCTGCGAAGTTGATAACACAAAACTGTCACTTAAAGAAACCTAGCATCTGTATTGTGAGGTGCCAAATTGCAGTTGTATTCAGAATTGAACTTAAGAGATTTCGGCTTCACTTTGCACCCCCTCCCCCCTTCATACACCATTACTTGGGAACTTGTAATAAAAATATACCATATCACTCATTGCTTCTAAATCACAAAACCTGTATAACATCTCACTGTTATAACCAAGTTTATGTGTTCTGGGAGATGCTGGTACCAAGGATTCTGTACTCTTAGTCTTGCAAGAACAGACAGCTTACACAACATGAAGTTTTCCTGCCTTGTGGCTGGGAATCAGTAAAGGTTGATGGACAAGAATCAACAGCTGATGGTTTGAATGCACATGAATCCTTGTTTATATTAGAAACTTTCCCAGGGTGTAAATCTTATGGTAAAAGTTACTGGGATTTCCTGTTCATCTGCATTTTATGGTACAGGCTGTTTGAAGGTATTAAGTACATTTTTCATATATTTCATTGAAACTAAATAATTCACTTGTGGCTCTACAGACTTTAGTTGACATGTATGTAGGACAGAGTCTGTCCTGTGATTCCTCATAGGGCAGCTACTGATACTGGTTCTGTGCCATCTACCTAGGAAGAGCATGTAAATTGGGCTCCGAGAGAAGGCAGTTGGAAGGCAGAAGTGGGTGACAGTAACTCAGTATGCTGGTAGTGCTTGGAAGTGTGCGATAATTGTTGCAAGAGTCTCTGCACTAAGCACTGATCTGCTTCACATCTGCACACTGTCAACCAAGTTGACTCATCCAGCCACATGACTTGCATGAAAACATATTTTTGTTATATTGGACTTCTACAGTTATTTACTTTTAATATTATGCGTTGTCAATTTTAAACAAAACGAGTAATTATACAGGAATGACTGCATGAAGATGTGTCTTCAAGACTTGTATTGATTTGGCATTATGCCGACTCATATTCAGCCAGGTGTTCACCTAACAGTATGTGATAGCATCTGGAGATGTCTGTGAATAATATTCATGGAAGTTAGGATTTTTATTCCGATATATGAATATAATCCTTTTCCTCTTAACAGTTTCATGGCACATACTGTTAGTCACATAAAACATTGTTTCTTATGCTCTCATTTTTAATTTTCAGCAAATTTAAATTAACCTCTATGAAAGGAAAATGATATTCTTTTAGTGTTTATTTTCTCCTTATATCCAGGTCATCACTATGCTGTTGGTTCCTGTGAACTGTTTCATTTCTACATTGCATGATTCTTACCATGTTCAAGTTGAAAATAAATACTACACAGCTGTTTACTGGTGGGTGGGAGGGTTCTGCTCAGTACTATGCAACCATATTTATGATAACCATTGGCACATGTATTGACATAAAAAATGAATAAGGTAATTCACAAATTTTGTGCTTCGACGAGCCATGCTGCCCTCATGCATTTTAGGGATGTGGAGCAATGCAGGGTGGGGGTTATATAGACTGCTTATTTATTGTGTTAAACAAGACAGTTTTATCAGCCAGTATGATTTCTTGTATATGTACAAGGCACAACAATTTAATTCCAAGAATGGCCATGTGAAAGCAAAATTTGCTTACCTGTGCTCTGGCGGCTGCCGTTGTGTTTGAAATACTCTCCTTGTGAAGCTATGCATTTCATGAAACGATGGCGCCACTGCTGGATTTGGTCTTGAGAATTGTTTTCCAGAATAGCTCGCAGTAACGTCATGTTGCATTGAATACCAGGAATGTCGGCAAATCTTTGTCCCTTCAGGGCATTTTTTAATTTTGAAAAGAGTCAAAAATCGCGAGGGGCTAATTAATGTGAATAAGGTGGATGGTTCATTACTTGTGAAGTCTTAATATATCATCCACCGGGGCATTGTTATGGTGGAGAATCTACTTGTCAGGCTAGAGTTCTGGTCTTTTCCCATAACTTTTTCAGCACTTCCAAATAACACTGTTGATTCCTTGTGCAATGAATTCATAGTGAACTATCCCCTTGTGATCGGAGAAACACTTTTGGGGTCATCTCGCACATCTTGTCCTTCCTTCAACCGCTTGTGCCATTCAAAAACACTCTTATTTCTTCATAGCGTATTCACTGTAAGGCACTTAATAGGGCTAATGTTTCACTAGTACTTTTAACAGTCTTGACACAAAATGTGATATTTATCTGCTGCTCCAGATTCTTGTCACTCATTTTTCTGCCGACTATACCACAGACATGCACTACTTCCTCTGCTGCTTGGGAACAACATATTTGGTCTGTGGCACATGTAAACGCAAGTTGAAACATGTCCGAACGTACTTTGGTACACGAGTTTGCCTGACTCAGCACCCCAGCAACACGCTGCAGCCATTCCAGGAATTAAATTATCGTACCTTGTATTTTGTGACAGATTTTGCATGTAAAGTTGTTCAGCGGATGGTACTCTGTTGAGCTAGAGGAGATGTATTGTGTATAATGTAAAGCAGTGTTTTTATCAGATGTGCAAGTATGCTTCTCATAACATTGGATGAAATGCAAGATATGGACTGTTCCCATCTCCATTATTTATATAACCTTTTATTTTTGTTGGAAGAAAATATAATTCGGAGTTCTTAAGGGGGGGGCTCTTTTCCTGCATTTCCAGAAGCCATCTAGAATTTAGGTGATAAAACTTTGATTGTTGTAGTCTGGTTTGTATGCTACATGTTAATGTTGAACTTCATAGTTTTTCAATGTTGCGAAATATGTTATGGCAGCCTTTTCTGTATCGGTATATCTCGTGTGATACAACCATACATATCTGTTATTGGAATCCATCAGAACTTCAAAAAGGAATTCTATAGTTCTGAAAAGAAAAGTGCTGAAGGGTGTGTGACATCTGTTCAGCATTGACTGAGTATAGGTAATTTGTTGAAGCAGTTAATGGAACATATAGTCAGATTACTGTGAGAAAGAAGGTCTGCATGTTTTATCAGTTGTTTACATCTCTGGTGAGCTTGCTGTGAACTGTATAGATTAATTACAAATTACATCAGCTGTTGTGCATGCTTCTCTCTGTGTGTGGACATGTGTGCACAAGATCAGCAAACACCAGATTCTGCTGTTACCTATCTAGAGCATTTAAAATAATCAGTTGTCGTTCGAAGGTCCTCGTGAAGCTTCCATCGATCTGAATTATACTTCCCCTTCTCTTTGTATTAATTCCAAATAATAGATTTTCTTAAGGCTTTCAAAGGGTCATGTTCTTTTCACCCTTACACTTTTCCCTAGAACTATAAAAGTTGAAAATATTTTTTGATGCCATTGATAGAAACAGAGCTACTGAGGGCTGCTAAGCACTGTGGCATATTGGTTAATGTGATCATTTGTTTCTGTGTATACATATCTGACACAAAATTTATAAGTGGGGTAAAATGAAGAGTTCTGTCTGCTGTGATATGCTTTGTAGTCCGTGTAGTCAGCTGGTGTTTCAGAGGAACTTGTCTCCATCTTCAGGGTTGAAGAATAAGCCGGGCAGGAAACCAGAATGAAAGAGGCAGCAAGCAGTCTGTTTCATGCTGGTTTCTTGCTGCTCCATGTTAGTTGACTTTCAGTGACTACGTGGTATGTCCCAGACTGATAGGGGCTCTTGAGGTCCCTCAAATCCCTCTCATGTGTAATGTTTAAAATTGCTTCTTAGATGGTCTTTTTGTGCGAGAAATATTTTACAAGTGAACATGATATAAATTCACTGTTCTTATGGTGTTACCTTTTTGCGGGAAACAATTTGAACAGGCTCTTCTAATGGGAGAGGCTGTTGTATGTATGTTTATATAGTTACGAGTACAC